CCTCCAGGCCCTGCACTTGGACGTCAGGGGCCCAGACCCCGTCCCTGGACCGCGTCGCGAGCGCTACTTTCTTGTGCTCGTCGACGACTTCACCCGCTACACCACGGTGTTTCCCCTGGAGCAGAAGGACGATGTGCCTGACGTTCTTATCTTGTGGGTCGTAGCTGCGCGCCTCCACTGCGGTCTCCCTCTGCTATGTCTCCACCCTGACCGTGGCGGCGAGTTCGCCTCTGGTCAGCTTGGACAGTTCTGACGTACGGAGGGCATCACCCAGTCGTACACCGTACTGGCCTCCCCGCAGTAGAATGGGGTCGCTGAGCAACGCATCGGTTTGGTCATGAAGGTGGCTCGTACCTCCATGATCGATGCTGGTGCACCCCATTTTCTGTGGCCGTTCGTTGTTCGCTACGCCGCTCACCAGCTTAACATGTGGCCGCGCTCTAATCGGCCGCAGGTTTCGCCGACCCTTCTTTAAACTGGGTTCCCTGGTGACGCGTCCACGTTCCACGTCTAGACCTACCTTGCTCACGTTCGTGCCTCTAGCACAGACAAGCTCACTGCCCGCACTGTCCCCTGTGTCTTCCTCGGTTTCCCCTTGGACTCGTCTGACTGGAACTTTTACCACCCGCCGTCTCACCGCTTCTTTCACTCCCGTGGCGCCACTTTTGACGAGTCTGTCTCCTTTTACCACCACTTTCCCCATCAAGATCTCCAGGTTTCCCCTCCCCTATTCCTGGTTCCCACTCCCCCGGTAGCCCTTGCTCACCTCCCTCCATGTCCTGCTCCGTCTGGTTCGTCTCACGTCACTCCCTTCCCGTCGGTTGTCCGAGTTGAGGAGTCAGCTGACTGTGGTGGCCCCGCGGTGCAGATTTCACCACCTGCCTCTCCCCGGTGTCTCCTCCTCTGCCGTCATAGCAGCCGCCGCAGTCCCTGCCGCAATAGCCGCCACAGCTGTCATCGTAGTCGCAACAGCAGCAGCCGCCGCAAAGGCGGTCGGCGCCATTGCAGCAGCAGCCGTCTGTGGCCTCTAGGGGTGTTGGCGTTGAGGAGGGTGCTAGTTCTGGGGTTCTTGTCATGGCTTCTCCCGGCAGGCCTGGGGGTGGCACCAATGCTGAAGAGAGTTCTTGCTCTGGGGGTGCTCGTTCTAGGGACGCTGGCGTGGAGTGTTCCGGCGGTAGCCGTGGTGCAGCTGGCGGTCCAGGTGTCGGCGTCGCGCAGCAGCAGCAGCAGCAGTCGCCGCCGGTGTCCGCCCTTCGCCTGCTCAGCCTTCCCTCCCCTGACCGCTCGCTTGCACCTTCCCCGGCCCCTACTTCTCTTCCGATCTACGGCCCTGTGTTCCCTCCGTCGGACTTGTCTCTGGCTCGTCTCCCCCCTCGTTCCCCTCTTATGTCTCCTCCTCTCTCTCCTGACCAGACGCCTCCGTCTCACATCTGGTCTCGCCGTCCCTCTCGTGCTCGTCCTGTCTCTCCTTTTCAGCGTTCTCACCCTAAGTTGCTTTGTTCCCACGCGTCTCGTCCTCCCCTCCTGCCGTCGCCTCCTCCGTCGTCGCTCGCTGTCGCACCTCCCCCTCTGTCTGACTACCTTCGTGCTGCTCGTCCTCTTGTTCCTTGGATCCTTGCCTCCCTTGATACTGACACGTCTGTTCCTGTCTCGAGTCTTGACGTTCTTGTCTCTGCTGTCGCTGACTTTGCTTCTACCCGCCGCCTTGACTACGCCACCGCTCTGGTCTCTGACCCTGTCTGTCCTCCGCCCGTCGGGGGTGCGCTTGCCCTTGGCAGTGACGTCCTAGAAGACAGGCAGTACGAGCTTGCTTTCCTGTCAGAGGCTGTTCCCCATCTCTGTTCCATGCTGCTAGTCCCCGATGGTGACCCAGACGCCTTTGACATCCCGACCCCTCGCATCTACGCTGAGGCGACTTCGGGACCCTGGGCCTCTCAGTGGATAGCTGCCATGGAGCAGGAGATGGCATCTTGGAGATCCACTGGCACCTACGTTGACGCAGTTGTTCCACCTGGGGTAGACGTAGTCGATGGCTGGTGGCTCTTCAAGGTGAAGCACCCCCCTGGAAAGCCGCCTGTATTTAAGGCATGCTACGTGGCTAGAGGCTTCAGTCAGCGTGAGGGGGTGGACTTCTATCAGACCTTCGCCCCGACCCCAAAGATGACTACTCTTATGATGCTGCTATACGTAGCAGCACAGTATGACTACAAGCTACATTCCCTTTACTTCTCCACAGCATTTCTCCAAGGCAGTTTACATGAGTAGGTCTATGTGTGGCGTCCGCAGGGCTTCACTGGTACATTCCCTCCTGGGACCCAGTGGCTCCTCCGACGCCCGGTCTACGGCCTGCAACAGGCACCCCGTGAGTGGCACGACACGCTGTGTGCTACGCTTGATGACCTGCAGTTCTTTCCGTCCTCTGCAGACCCCTCGCTCTTCATTCGTGCTTGCTAGACTCCGTTCTACATCCTTGTCTACGTAGGCGACCTGGTCTTCGCCACTGCTGACAGAGACGCACTGGCCTCTGTAAAGGCCGAGCTGCTGAGGAGGCACACCTGCACTGACCTAGGAGAGCTACAATGCTACTTGGGCCTGCAGATCTCATACTGTCACACTTGGTGCGCCAGGTCCTTCAGAGGTTTGGTCTTCAATTCTCCTCCGCACAGTCCCACACCTCTGCCAGTAGATCACAGGCTCTCTGCTCCAATTCCTGAGGAGTTAGTAGAGCCTAGTGGTCCTTACGCAGAGCTGATGGGTTGCCTCATGTACCTGATAACTTGCACTCGTCCAGATCTCGCATACCCTCTCAGCGTCCTGACTCGTTTTGTAGCCACAGGCAGACACCGACCACAGCACTGGTCGGCCGCTAAGAGGGTTTTGCGTTATCTAGCAAGTACATCCGGCATGGGTTTAGTGCTGGGAGGACGCAGGCCAGTAGTCCTTCCTGGGCACACTGACGCTTCTTGGGCAGACGATGCCGAGACCCTCCTCTCAAGTCTAGTGCTTTAGCCTTGGTTCAGGTGCCATCCCGTGGAGGTCCACTCGCTCCTCATCTGTTGCCCAGTCTAACTGTGAGCCTGAGATCTGCGCCGGTGCCATGGCAGCACAGGACCTGAGGGTCTCAGCGTCGTCTGCCCAAAAAGCGTTTGTGTGCCCAGTAAGGACCACTGGCATGCGTCCTCCCAGTACTAGCCCCATGCCTCATGTACTTGCTAGATAACGCAAAACCCTCTTAGCGGCCGACAAGTGCTGTGGTCGGGGTCTGCCTGTGGCCACAAAGCGAGCTAGGATGCTGAGAGGGTATGCAAGATCTAGACGAGTGCAAGTCATCAGGTATATGAGGCAACCCACCAACTCTGCATAATGACCACTTGGCTCTACTGACTCTTCAGGAACAGGAGCTGAGAGCCTGTGGTCTACTAGCAGAGGTGTAGGCTATGCGGAGGAGATTTGATGACCGAACCTCTGAAGGACCTGGCGCACCAAGTGTGACTGTGTGAGAGTGATGGTGCGCGCTGCTATGTCCTTGGAGATCTGTAGGCCAAGGTAGCGGCGAAGCTCAGGGTTTGGGTGTGTCTTCTCAACAGCTCGGTCTTCACGGAGGTCAGTGCGTCTCTCTCTGCAGTAGCGAAGACCAGGTTGTCTATGTAGACAAGGATGTAGAACGGAGTCTGGCCAGCATGAACGAAGAGCGAGGCGTCTGGAGAGGACAGAAAGAAATGACAGTGCCCGCGTCCAAACAGGATTAAAGAGCCAGTCTCACTCCATCAGGTCCACGATATGGCAGCCTCCTTCCTACAGTCAAACAACCCAGCCGTGTTCCAAAAAGGATTGATCCCGATTCTCATGTACACCGGTTTACGGCGCTACTCGGACCTGGTGGCCATCCAATGGCAGGACATCCAATTTAAAGATGAAGCGATGTGGCTACTCATCCCCCACTCAAAAACCGACCAAGCCAGCCAAGGCACATGGATCCCTATCGCAGCAAGCCCCGGACTCTTTTGTCCGGTCCACAGTTGGGAGAAGAGCACCTAGGCACCCACTCATTTCGGAAAGGCGCGGCCACAGTTGCTGCCAACTCCGGGGTTCCTGACAGGATCTTCAAACGCCTGGGCTGTTGGCGTAGTGAAACCGCGAAAGAGATGTACGTTATGCCCACGACCGATCATCTGGTTGGCGCGTCTCGTCGCCTGCAAGACCCGGCGGCGGCACCATCCTCTGCACAACACGCCGAGGCACTTCTCCGCCACCGCAAGCCCCCACTACACATGTCTCAACGACCCCACTTGAAATGAGAACGATGCCTATTGCAAAGGACAAGAAAGCAAGCTTTCTCAATATTATAATTTTTTAACAGACGCTGTGTTTTTCAAAAAATGTGTATTGTGAAAGCGAAGCTGATTGTACTGAAGCGTTGGGCATCGTCGAAGCGCGCTACTCGCCCTTCTCCAACTACATGTACGTGGGTTGGAGCTCATTTACCTCCACCCACGTCTCATTTTTCAAACAGCTCAGTCAACTTTCCCACCCACCCCCCCCTCTAGACAACCGCGTATCTCCAATTGACAGCCGGTCACTTGAACGGGGAGCGCACAACTAGGATCATGATGTGTGCATGCTTAGATTCTTATAAGCTAGTAAGCGACTATTGTACCTTGCCCACTTGAAATGAGAACGATGCCTATTGCAAAGGACAAGAAAGCAAGCTTTCTCAATAAGGGTATTTCACCCTGATATCCTGAGGGCTGGTGGGCGGGGAGGACCTAACCTGAGCGCAATGGGCCAAATAAAGGGATGCGCCTATATCCGGGGGATTACAGTACCAGTACAAGGGTTCAACTCAAGACTTCCGTTGTGTTATCAAGCACTCTGTTACAAGGACTTCGCCTTCTGAAAAGATCCTAGGGCTATTCTCAGCCCAACACAGTTCACTATATTTTCGGGCAGTGCATCCAACCAACTGCACTCTTTCTAATGCATTACCAACACTTCGAACAAATTTCACTACCATTTTGTTGTATTGGCACATGGTTTGTTATTTTTTAAGCCATAAGCTTTAAGGGGATTGCAGCCTCACATTCAAAACAATTCCCATGTACCGTAAACATCTGAATCTTATCAGTACAGCTTGAGCACGTCTTTGATTTTTCGGTTGCACAGCGGGCACTTGCCCCGCCTGTCCCTGACCTCTTGAGCGCATGTGCGGCACAGCATGTGCCCGCACGGCACAAACGCTGCCTTCCGATACCTCTCCATGCACACACAGCACAGCGCCTCCAACGGCTCCACCTCCTCCCCTCCCCTCCCCTCCTCACCAACCCCTGCTTCTCCCCCTCCTACTCTCGTCCCCCCTCTTCTCCCTCCCACCCCCCCTCCAGTCCTGTCCCTGCGCCCCTCCTCTTCCTCCTCTTCTGCTCCTCCCCTCTGTCTCTCTCCCCCCATGTGCCTTCTGCTGCTGGCTACCCCACCCCCCCACGGCTGTGTGTGAGTGAGAGCAGGACTCTGGGTTCGTCTGGATGATACTTGGATTGGTGGGCCTCCTAAAACGGCCACCAGTGGCACACCCGCTCCTGTTACAGTGCCTGCTACAGTACTACCTCCTGCCCCTGTGCCTGTGCCTGATGTTGCCAATGCTGCCACCACCCGTGCCGATGCTGGGAACCTGACAGGGACAGGAGGGCGAGGAACAGTGATAGAATCGTTTCCGCTGGCACCTGACGCAGCAGCCGCACCAGCAGCCGCACTAGCAGCACTGCTGGTAAGCAGAGTTGTGGAGGAGGAGGAGGCGGAGGAGCCAAAGAGAGCGTTTTCGATCGCTGCGTCAATCAGTGCCTGTTCGTCCCTACCCCCGCCTCGGCTCTGCAACTGCTCGTACAGCTGGTGCTGCTGCTGGCTCAGGTGCTGCTGCTGCTGGTTCTCTTCCCCTTCTCCTGCTTCTCCATCCTCGTTAGAAGGCGACTCGTTACGGGTCAACAGCATGCGCTGCAGCCGGAGCAGCAAGAGCCGCTGCCGCTGCTGCTGCCTCTGCTCGTGCATCCTCAACACCACATCCCCCCTGTTGCTGCTGCTGCCCACACCACCCTGCACACTGACACCGCCAGAAGCACTGCCACTGCTGCCACCAATAACACCACTACCAGCACCACCAACACCAACACCGCTACCACCAGCAGCACTCCCACCACCAAAGCTGTTGCTAAAGCTGGAGCTCGAATGCAGCACCCCAGACCCTGTTAAGCTGTCTCTTCCCCTCACTCTTAACGGAGAGCCCATGCGCACTGCTGTCGGCAAAGGCATGCCTGCACTAACAGTGCTCATTTGCACAGCACCAGAACTCGCCACCCTGCGGAAACGCACGGGGCTCTCTCTTTGTGCTCGTCCCTGCTCTGCTCCCACACTGCCCTGCTCTCCGCCCCTACCACTCACAGTGACTTCTGCTGGCTCTCTCACAGCCTCACTCTCTCCAGCTGCTGCTGCTGCTGCTGCTGCTGCTGCTGCTGTTGTCAACCCTCTTGCTACAGCAGTGGCTGGAGCCGCGGCATCTGCAACAGCTGCTGTTGCTGTTGCTGCTACAGCTACCGCTGGTGCTACAGCTACTGAGGGTGCAGGGCCTGCATCCAAGCCCACACCTTCACCTCGTGCTGGGGAAAACAGCACCCATCCTTCCATAGGACACGATTCTACTGCACTTGACGTCCCCGCCCCTGGCAGTGGCACTGCTGCTGTTCCCCTGTCTGTCTCATTGGATGCTGCCCCTGCTGCTGGTTCTGGTGCCGCTGGCGCCCCAAAACCAAACGGATTCGATGGAACGTGGGAGGCCACTGTATCATAGGAATCAAACGGATTGTACTGCGTGCAGTGCTGCTCAGCTCCCTGACTCTCATAGGGCAAGGGCTGGATGTTGGCAGTGTATGATGGCTGTGGCATGTCAGTGTCTGCATAGATGAAAGAATGGCAAGTGCCGGCTGCTGCTGCTTCGCCGATTGCAGAGGGACTGGGCATGGTGAGAGAGGTTGCCATTGAGGGCGCTGGCAGCGCATACGTTGCTGCTGCTGCTTCGCCAATTGCAGAGGGAATGTGCATGGCGAGAGTGGGTGCGACAGGGGAGTCATCCAACATGCTGGTTTCTGGCACTGGGGATGATGCTGGAAGGATGGGCAATGTTTGTGAGTCTGATGCTGAAGCATGAGAGACCAGTGATGATGGGACCACATTGTCCAGTGGAAGTGGGAGCGACACAGTTGCTGCTGGCTGTGTGGTGGAAACAGCAGTATATGGTGCATCAGCAGGTCCAGCAGCAGGGAAAGGTGTGCTGACAGACTGCCTACTTGCTGCAGGGGCGGTTGCTGCTGTTGCTGGTGCAGTGGCGCCAACACTTGTTGCTGTTGCTGCTGCTGCTGCAACAGGCCGGACAGAAAGAGGCTGCTGTGAAGGCAGTGGGCCAGAGGCTGGTGAAATGGCATGTGGAAATGCTTCAGCTATAGCTGCTGGCTCAGGTGCTTGATCAGATGCTGTGTCAGGTATCACATCAGGTGATATGTCATGTACCATATCAAGAATCTCATCAGATGCGGCATCGAGTTCTGTTGCATCAGGTGCTGGCTCAGGTGTATTTGATGCTGTGCCTGGTGCCGGGCCAGGTGTTGAATCGGGCATATCAGCCGCGAACGCAGCAGCAGACGCTGGCAACGAGTGAGACGCAGCAGCAGCAGCAGCAGCAGCAGCACCAGCAGCAGCTAAAGATTCAGCAACCACATCTGTCGATGCGACCAAATTTGCAATCAACAAATTAGCTGCTCGCTCAGAAGTGTTGGCACCGGTACTTCCAAAGGCAACCGTTGCTCCAGCAGTAGCAGGAGGAACTTCACTAACCCCATCGATCCGCTCTTGCATCCCAGCCACCAGCCCCACCACATTTTCTCCTCGTGTCTCAATCTGTCTGTCCCTCACTGCAAGGGCTGATTCACCATCCGCGAGATCACCACCCTCCACTGAGCTCCTCTCCTCCCCACCCGAAATGCACAACTCCATGCTTGTCTCACCCCCCCCACCCCTCCCACGCGCCCCTTCTGTCGAAGCAGCAGCAGCAGCAGAAGTGGAGGCGGCAGGGTGGGTGAGTGAAGACGCATCAGTAGCAACAGCTACTACCGGGGTGCCTTGAGCACTCTCAAGAGCAGGCAAACGCGCATCTGTAGCAGCTGCAATTGACGCCTCTGTAACAACAGCTGCAGTTGACGCCTCTGTAGCAGCTGCAGTACCTGCAGCACAAGTGGCATTGCCACTAAAATCCACCACACAGCTGGGGCTGCCCCCTGCCCTGTGCAACTCCCTCTTGCCTTCCCTGCTTGGTGCACAGCTGTCCAGTGCGTGGGTCACCGCGCCACGTGAAGCAGCACCTTCTGTACCCCCCTCGTGCCCCATCACAACCCCGCTCAATGCCACACCACGAGGACCACTTCTGTCCGGTGCGTTGTGGGTCACCACGCCAGGTGAAGCAGCACCTTCTGTACCCCCCTCATGCCCCATCACAACCCTGCTCAATGCCACACCAGGACCACTTCTCTCCGCCTCCACCTCCTCCCCAGCCCCTTCCCTTTCAGCCTCACCAGCCCCGGCCTCTTCCCTTTCAGCCTCACTGTCCTCTCCTGGGACTGCGGGTGTCTCCACCACCGAATCCACTGCTGAGTCACCCCCTCCTTCCCGCACCATCTCCTCTGCTTCACCATCTACTGCTGTCAGACCCACGCCGACAGTTGCCTCCCCTTCAGCCTCCAGTCCCCTGTCACCGCTCTGCACCCCTCCCAACCGCGCCCCTAGCACAGCCACCACTCTTCGTTCTCCCCCGCTTCCTCTCTGCCTGCTCTGCCTGCCCACTAGCCCATGTACAGACACCCGACGCCGACCCAGCCTGCACTGACTCGACGCAGACTGCTGCTGAGTCAGCACGAGCTGACCTGGCACGAGATGTTGCTGCTCTGGACTCAGCTCCTGCTGTTCTGGCTGCTGCTGACGTGGATGAGTGGCACGAGTGGTACGAGTAGCACGAGAGGGAGAGGGCAGGAGGGAGGGTAGAGGGGAGAACTGCTGCCGAAGGCGCTGCTGCTGCTGCTGCCAGCGCCACAAGGCACGGCTTCTCATACCCTCTCCACTGCTCGCACTCAAACTGTGAGGAGGGGGATCCGCCACCACTTGCCCCTGCATGCCAGCAACATTGAGAGAATGCTCCTCTGTGTTATCAGCAGAGACGACATGCGCTCCATGCACGTTTGCTGTGGCAAATATTCCAGCGCTCGCAGCAGGGATATCGCCGTCAGATGCAGTGTCAGCATCTGTTGCTGTTGCATGCTCGTTCTCCATCTCCACCATCCTACCCCTCCTCCTCATCCTGCCATGGTCAACCCCCCCTCTGTCTCTCGCTCCCTCACCTCTCCCCACTCCTTGCAAACCCTCTCTTGTCCGCCCACGCCTTCCCATGCACATGCGCCTTGACTCCCCTGCTTCCTCTTCCCCTTCCTCTTCGCTGTCTTCTCCTAGTGACTCTGCAGTTGCTGGTCTTGCTGCTGCCCCTGCTGCTCCTACTGCCGCTCCTGCTGCTGCCCCTACTGCTCCTGCCACCGCCTCTGCTGCTGTCCCTACTGTCCCTGTGTCTCCTGCTATGTGCCACTCAGCCACTTCTGCACCTTCACCTGGCCACTCGCGAGGCGAGGAGCGAGGGGCAGCAGGCACACCACCCCCCAAACTGCCTGCTACATTACCTCCCGCACCAGTCTCATGCTCTCTGAAACAGTGCGACCTACTGGCGCTGCTACTGCCACACACGGGACGCAGCACCACAGGACACGCCACACACAAATAAGCGGAGGAGCCCGTCAGCAACCACCACCGCCGCTGTCGCAGGCCAGTTTCTCCTCCATGGGTGCTCAGGCTAGCTCCTCCTTCTCCCTGATTGCTTCGGTGCAACCTGCTCGCTCTCCTCTCAGACCTCTCACCGTTCCCTGCCGGGTGCTGCTGATAGGAGGACAGGCGAGCGCCGGATTCGTTCAGCAAGTCCCCTTCGGTGTACCCCCCTTCTCCCTGCTCCCCCTCCTGCCCCTCTTCCTCTGCCTCCTCTATTTCCCCTTCTATTCCCCCCCGTATTTCCTGCTGTTGATCTAACTGACGAAGCTGTGCCTGTGACTGTTGCTGCACTCCCCCTGCCCTTGAAACATTCTCTTCGGCTAATGCGTTCTCTGCTCCCATTTCTCCTCCTTCCCCAAGCAATTCCCTCCTCACTCCTCCTCCTCCTCCTCTTCCTCTGCCTCCTCCTCCTCCCCCTCCCCCTCTCCGTCCCCTCCCCCCTCTCCCACGCCCTCTTACCGCCTGCATGGCTAGAGCAGCTTCTCTCTCTGCCGGCCCTGCTGCCCTTCCCTCCCTTCTATCACCTCCCCCTGCCCCTGCACCAGTCCGTTCTACCCCAGGTCTCACCCCACCTGGTCTTGGCCTTGCTCGCTGATTCCTCATCCCCACCTCCTCCCCCTCACCCCTCCCCCTCACTCTCGCACTCCCACCCCTCCCTCCCTGGTTTCCTCCCCTTGTCTGACTCGCACCGCTTGTTTGATTCTCACCTCTAAGTCCATTTCCGCCCGTCCTTTGGTTCCCACCTCCCAGCACCGCAGGAGCCACACACTCATTGCGGAACAGCCCCCGCCTAGCAGCGATGCGCACAGGGGTAAGGAAGCACTGGTTCGGGGGCATAGCCGGAGGGTTCTGGTGATTGTGACTATAGCGAGGGGCTTGACGGGCCGTGCTATGTGATGATGGTGCTGATGGGTACTCGGTGCGAGAACCAGATGGGTTTACCATGCTGGGAGTGGGAGCAGGAGCGGCTGATGCTGCTGCTGCTGCTGCAGCTGCGGCTGCTGCTGACGGAAGGATCAGTATTTCGTCTTCTTCTGATTCCTCTGGCACGATCTCTCGTGACTCAATATTCGGCTCGAGACTCGACTCAAAATTCTGCTCGAGGTTCGATTCAAAGTTCGACTCTAAATTCGATTCTGCCACGGGGTCGAGCTGCGACGCCATTGGCTGGGAGTCGATCCACTGCTTCACTGCTACAGTGCGGCGGACCGCAGAGGATGTGGAGAAAATGGAGTACGGGGGGGAAGCGGAGGGGGAGGAAACTGAGGAGGAGGAGGGGTGAGACAGGTGCTTGTCCGCAAGAATGTTTGAAGAGGAGTCAAGACTGGAGCCTGCAGCACCTGCAATGGCAAGAGGGAGCTGGTTGTTGTTCCTGCTGCTGCCACCACCACTGCCGCTCGCACTGGCATTGCCGCTGCTGTTTCTGGAGCTCCTACCTGCTCCAGTCAACACCCGCCTCTGTGGCACTATTGCTGGCAACTCTGCTGCTGCTGCTGAAGCTGCTGCCGCCGCTGCTGCTGTTGCTGTTGCTGTCGCTGCCGCAGCTGCTCGTTCTGCGGCTGTTGCTGCTGCTGCTGATATTAGCCCTCTCGTCCTCTCCGGGAAACCATACCCCTCCGCACCCCCTCGACTATACACACTGCAGCTGCCCCTCTCGGTACCAACGCTGGTATCGCCTATAGTAGCTGCATCCTCCATGCTCTCATTGAAAGACAAGTCCCCAGAGAGGGACGACAGGGACCGCCTGTGACCGTCACATGCATCCATGCCTCTGCTGCTCCCTGTAACAACCATACCTGCGTTACAAACAGTTTCGCCAATACCACTGCCTGTTACACGGTTACTCGTGCGCTGGCTTGGGGACGAACTGCCTGGGCAAGGTGTGAGGTGAGGCGCATCTAAGCTGGTGCCTTCCGCCTCATCCCTCTCCTCCTCCGTACCCTCCCTCTCCTTTACCCCACTATCATCATCGTCCACATGCCCCCCTTCCTCACAAACGTAACCCGCCCCCCCCCACCTTCCTTCTTCATCTGCCTCTCTATAACCACCCTCCCTTCCACCCTCCCTTCCACCGTCCCTTTCTTCAGAGCCCGAGCCCTCTCTTCCTTCCTCCTCCTGCACCTCCCCCTCACTCTCCCTCTCACTCCCACTCTCATCCTCCTCCTCTTCCTCCCCCTCACTACCGTCCTCCTCTCCTCCCCCTCCCCCCTCTTCCAACCCCTCCACGACGACAGCTGGCAGCAGCTGATAGGCCCGTCCCGAGGCGTCATCAACTAGCAGTACGCTCTCTCCTCCCTCCAGCGCCCCCCTTGCATGCTCCTCCATCTCTCTACTCAGCCGCAGCTCATGGCACACCACCGCCTCCTCCTCCTCCACTTCCTCCTCCTCATCTTCCTCCTCCTCCGCTTCCCCCGCCTCCTCAAACCCCAGCTCCTCTCCACTTTGCAGCAAGACGGCCCCTTGACTGTGGAACACCCTCTCTCCTCCCTCCACCCTCGTCTTTCCCCCCTCCACCACCCCTTTTGCGCAGCACACTCTCTCATTCACCCCGTCCTCCCCGACCTCCATCTCGTTACACACTGTGGACCTTTCGTATTCGGACGCCATGCCTCCTCCTTCCAGCGTGTTCCCTGCTCCCGTGGCACATGTTACCACATTCTCGTCACACGTATCCGTCGCTCGTTCCCGCTCCCAGCATTCCACCACTACTGACTCATCCACAAAACAAGCCGCCTGGTCGTCTTCCCCTGTTCGCTCAAGCAACCCTAGGCCCCCAACTTCCAGTCCACGCCCCCCCTTCCTAGCCCCTACCCCCCCCTTCTCCCCTTCCTTCTCACTCCCATATCCCCGCCCCTTTCCCCCTTGCCCTTCCCCTCCCGACGACCACCCTCCTCCTCCGGACAACCTTCTCGCATCCTTTCCTCCCTTCAATCCCTTCCTTCTGCTCCTTGCCGCCCCACCGCCCGAACCATTGCCACGTGTGGCAACGCTAACAACTGCACCCGCACAAACTGCCTGACTGTCCGTTCCACCAACAGTCAGTGGTGGTAGATCTGCCAAAGTCAAGCTCGTGCCTGTGAAAACCAGCTCACTAGAAGAACCCCCCTCCACGCATAACCTACCATGATCTTGCACCTTCTCAGAGGCACTTTCTGTGCCGCTTATTTCCCCAACAGAACCCACTCCATCCTTCCTTGCCTTCCTCCCCTTAGGAGTCCACTCCTTGCGTGCCTGAGCCCCGCCAGCAGCACCGCTTCCAACCGCTCCGCCTCTCCCTTTTTTCCCCTGAACCGCTGCTCTCCCCCCCACGCCTGAAGCAGCAGCAGTTGCGGCAGCTATCTCAAGTTGGCGGATCCTCTCCCCCACCGTCCCCCTCCCTCTGTCTTGCCCCACGCCCGCAGCACCTCTCCCTCTCCCCGCTGCCCTCCCACCTTCCCTCTTCCTCCTCGCTCTGCCAGGCGCCATCACAACCCCCGACGCTAGACCAGTGTTCCCAGTACCTATAACGAGGACAACCGTTTCTGCTTGCATATCTTCTTCCCCTTCCAGACCATCGAACGTCATACCCGTTTCTCTGCCCCCTCCTCCACCTCCCTCCCGATCCGTATCCATCTCAATGCTATCAGATGCAGGGATCGCAGCTCTAACTACCTGTTTCGGGTTCCTGGTCGCCCGTCCCCCTCTGCTGCCGCCGCCGCTGCCCTCGCCACTGTCACTTCTCCTGCCCTCCTCACTGCAGTACAATCCGTTACTGTCACATCGCCTGGTGGCATCAAACCGCGTCGCAGCAGCCTCCCTGCTCGGCGCGCCATCTAAACCGTCAGAATCGCCATCATCATCCTTTCCTCTGTTCTCATCACTATCCTCGATACAAGCATCCCCGCGATCCGCACTGCCACCAAGACGCTGTCTAAAAGAACCCTCTCCTGCCTCACAGCTATCATCATCCTCTGCACTCCTAGGCACCTGGCAAGGGGAATTAGGCCGTCTCAGCGCCGCCTGCTTCCCCTGCTGTCGCCTCTGCACCTGGCTCTTAAGAGCGTGCGGGGATTTAACTAAGTCCAAGCCTGCAGATTGCGCTTTCCGTCTAGGAGACGCTCTGCTGCCAGGCCCGAGTATAGAACCCGCCCTGAGTGACCCCTCCCTCTTCATTCTGCTACTGACAATGCTAGGGTTAGCTAAGGCGTCAGACGAGTCCGTGTCTGTGGTACCAATGCTGCTGCTACGCCTAACAGCGTTGGAGTTACCGCCGCTGCTGTTGCTGCCCTTGCTGTTCCTGTTGCTTTTGCTGCTTTTGCGAAGAGGGCCAGTTGTGGTCTTGGATTGTTCAAAAATCGATCTGAGCTGGCGGACGCTCACGTTTGACGACAAACCGGGACTGTTTGGGCGGCAACGGCTGGCGTTTGCTGCAGTAAGCTCTGGTGATTGCTGGCCTGTGATCCGCTCCGTGTGCTTCCTCAGCTGCTCTGCTGTCAGCACTGCGGTTTGCCCTGTAGTCGGTCTAACTGACAGCTTTTGCGATTCTCCTGTTCTTGACTGCTGCTCCTCCCTCTGCTGTTCCCCTCTCTCCTGCTCCCCTCGCTGCTGCTCCCCTCTCTGCCGCTCCCCTCTCTCCTGCACCTTGCCCACCTCCTGTTCCTGTTTCTGTTTCTCCTGTTCCTGTTTCTGTCGCTCCCTTTGCTTCCCCTTGTCCTGCGGTTTCCGCTTGGCAGAGGACGAGCGCGGGCGAGGCAGTTTCTCTTTCTCTTTCTCCGCTTCACACACTTGGGCCGTTTCCCCTGCCTGGTCGGACTCCGTTATCTGCGCGGAATCCGCCACCTGCTGGGCTTCCGTTACGTGCTCGGAATCCGTCACCTGCTGGGCTTCCGTTACCTGCTCCTGACCCTGCTGCGTATCTTCCGTCAGCCTATCAGAAAACGTCAAGTCAACCGGGACGCTAGACGGAGAATCAGCTAGCGCCAACTGAGGTAACTGACCTACTCCACTCTCCGGGTCCTCGTTCCCCGCCTTTTTCCCCTTGCGCGATTTAGGCGTGTCCTTCCCTTTCTTCGCTACTCTGCGGGTCACAGACGCGCTCCTAATTCCCTCCTCTCCCACTTCCGTCTCCCCGACGCTGGTCCTAGTCACTCTAACCCTAGACTCGTCTTGTTGGCTTGACCCCGTATCCCGGTCTGCTTCTCCGCCGCTATTGCTGCGAATATCAACCGAGTCTGTTCCCAATGCTGCTGCTGCCGCTGTCGCTGATACCGCTGCTGCTGTTTCTGTCGGCGCTGATGCTGCTGCTGCTGCTGCTGCTGCAGCTGGTGCTGCCGTTGCCGGTGCCGCCGCTGCCTCGGCGGCTTTTCTGGTCCGACGAAGGCCTTCAGCACGAGGTGCTGGAGAAGACACCTCCATATGCGGGCCGCATCGGGGTTCGAACACCCCGAGAGAGTCAAACTACCTTCTTTCGGTCAACGCGAATGTAACCCTTGACGTGCTGGAGAAGATACCTCCATACGCGGGCCGCATCGGGGTTCAAACACCCCGAGAGAGTAGTAAAACCACGCTTGTAGTAGCCACCGCTGGGCGGAGGGGGCGCGGTGGCTTAGCTAGTGACCGTTAGACACGGAAAGTCCGTGGTTTTCTGTTCCGTATAACGTACAGCGGCTGTGTCTATACGAAGCTCGACGACGATTATTTAGACCATACCGCATCCTCGCAAATCAGAAGAAATTAAGAACCACTTTCACCTATCCTAGGGACAGGTTCAAATCGCGCATGGGCTACATAATTACTCCGGCCACCAAACAGCGACACACCAGGCGCGTTGTTGACCACACTAATCGTCTGAATACTCAGGCATGGCAGAAAGTCACTACCTTTCTGGTCTGCGTCCCCCAGGAAGCACACGTTTCCCACACTAGCACCACCACCACGCGGCCACTAACTAGCTACAGAGCCTTGGGAAGACAGTTGTGCTGGGCCAGGGCTTGGCTGTCGGTGGATCACGGAACGGAAACTGTTTCCCTTGGGAACAGGGTTGGTTCATAGGGGCCTTCAGTGGGGCAGTTGTCGTGGGCCATGACCAGCCGCTAACATGCGAAGAGCTCAGGGAAATGTTAAAATATAACTACACTGTACACAAGTGTAGGGGGAAATGCTGTACGTCTTAGACAATGTTGTTATATCTAAATTCACGTACACAAACTTCGCTGCATGCAAGAAAAGCAACAAACGAACTGGATGTAAATTTCATGTTCCAATAACGAACGAGTTCAAGTTTGGAAGAGCCTTCTGCACCCTTTCGAGCGCCTGGTAATCGCCTACCCCAACGTTTTCGAGATAAGGAAAGGTCTTCAGGCATTCTACACTATACAGGTTAGATAAAAATCTCAGCAGAAGGGTTTTGAGAGACTTGAAGGACTTCAGATACTCCATTCCTCGATAAGTGATGCTCCGTGGGAGACTCAGCCATCTTAACTTGACCAGAGCGGCTAGACACCATAAGCCGTAATCGCACACCTGGGTATTAGCAATATCCAAATGCTCTAGATTCCCAAGCTTCCCCACATATACCATGGTATCAGATGTGAAACTAATCCCCAACTGCTGTGACAGAACAAGACTCTGTAAAGAGGACAGCGCTGCGAGGTTAGCAAGACCGTTACCTGAAATAGGAGTATCACGCAACTCCAGATGGCGAAGTGCCCAAAGATTTTTTATTTCTGGCACCATGGGCTCAGTGACCGATTCAAGTTTCAACTCCTCCAGCCATGTCATGGAGTAGAGCTGCAGGAGAGCAGGCTTCTCGAGATTTCCCACAATGGAGATGCTTTTGAGGGATCGCATGCAGGAGAGGTGGATGAAACCGAACATGGTCAGTCGCCAAGTGTCATTAAGTGTGATTTCGGTTGTTTCAGGGTGGAGATTGACGATCTGAATGTCCTCGTCGGTGGGATGGTGATTAGTTGCTGCAGGAATGGCCTGAAAGCATGACGACACGCAGGTGCGTAATAATGAGAAACCACGGAACCAGAAAACATTGAATGATTGGCATTCCGACGCACTAAATTTCTCGTTCAAACAATAGAAACACTCACCTCCCAGATGTTTTTCATCTCGTGCCTCTGTTGTACCAGCAATTCCTCCGTCTGCGCAAGTCGCACTTCCAGTGCGGCTATCTCCTCTTCCCTCTCCTCCCTAGCAGCCCTCTCCCGTGCTAGCTCATCCCTTAGCTCGCTTATTCTGTCCCTACTCGCCTCCCTGTCTTCTACGACGACCTTTTCTAGAAATTCCACCTTATTTCTGAGGGCGACCATCATCTCCTCGAGCCTAGCCACTCCCTCGTCCTTTTCGCGTTTATGTCGTTTGGTTTCCTCCGAATCCCCCCTCGCATCCTCCAGAACAGAATACTCGGTTTCTAACCCTCGCTTCGCCATTGTTCAGCCAGTGATAAACTCGGCCTGACAATGTAAGGAGGAATCAGAGGCCTTCCACAGAGAGCTGTAACACTTCTACCGATCTGAAAAACGAAATGGTAATAATCAGGTCGATCTGTTGATATGGTGGCAACGAAGAAGGCAGCAGATTACGGCTCACAGAAGTACCAGGGGCCCGGTTATGACATACTAGCCTCGAACCGGCCAATTAGGAATTGGACAGTCGCGAGAGACTTCCCATACTTGTTAACCCCCTTATTCACTTGATATCTCTTAGTTACTGGGTTTGGTACTAGCCTTCCTTAGGGCGTGTCACTAAAAATCGTTTGCGCAAAATACCCTTCGCATCCGCTCTGGAGTTTTATTTGACCGTTTCAGAACGCAAAAAAAAAAAACAAGAGAATACTAAATCGTCTTAGGGTTGCGGAGCTATCTTTGCCGGTGTGGCAAATTTAATAATAATATTTTGCATTTTACATCGAGATTATGACTATTATCATTTGATGTGATATTATTTTACAATTGTGCATCAAGTCTTATTATATTTCGCTAATACGGTAATCCCCCGGATATAACACCCCGGGTGTAGTACAAAATTCTGGCAAAAATGGGGGGGTGGGTGCTCTATTTCGCGTTTACGCTATAGCACCCTTGTGTTATATTTGAGGATATTTTTTTTTAAGGTTGCATTGTGTTCCTTGTGCAATAAGCTTTCCGACCATGTTGTTTTGGGCTCGAAAGGACCGCAAGTGTGGGCGATCTGAAGGGTCAAAGTCCGCCTGTGGGTCTAGCCCGTTTTAGAGCGTGTTCTTATCAGCCTCTTCCCAGGCTATCCTCCTCCCAAATCAGCCCTTGCATGAGAGCATGTTCGAAGAATCATTTTTCCAGCCAGTTTGTTTTAGAATCGCGTTCTTCACCGCAATGAATCAGCTCTCGTCAAAATCACACTAGAGATTCGCGCACGTCTGAAATTTTGGGCCCCAAAACGAGATTTGAGAACACTTGAATCTTGACAATCACAGTCTCTTGAACACCACGCGGAACCGCACTAAACTGTTTCGCGTCATAATTACGCGGCACTGTAGCGCGCGAGTCTGGGAAGAGGTTGGCTGGAAAGAGGCCGCACGAGTGTGCGAACTGGCATGAAACATGCCTAGTGTAGTTGCTAGTATGGCATGTGTAGTAGGGCAACTGTAGTGATTGATGGTGCCTAACTTATATTAACATTGTAGTATACTCCGCAAATTGAAAAGTATGCAAAAACAATGGGGTGGGTGCTATCCCAGGTTCCTCAAAAGGTGGGTATATAATTGCGGGTTCGTCAATAGAACACCCATCCCGGATATAACACCACTGGGTGTTTTATTCCGGCGGGTGTTATATCCGGGGGATTACGGTATACATCCTTGTTTCTCATAACTGTACATCTGATGTTTTCATAGCGCAACACTTTTTTTCTTCCAAGTTTGCCAGAGCCAGCTCGAAAATCGAGGGACGCAAAAGCCTAGGCCCAAGTATCAGACCCAGGTCTTCATGACATCTGTCAACCCTTTGTGCTACCCTAAGACGTAAAACTTTGTTGGAAATACCTCGAGGACTTAAGCGTTTCTGAAGGACAGTATAACACTACACTCGAGGAAAGTCGTATCGAGTACGCGAGTCAACGGAGGGTACATGAGGAGGTTGGACGAAAGAACACGAAAAGACGAAGGAACACGAAGGGTCGCAACCGGAGGTTGCGATTGACCGTTGCGACTGCAAGGGTGGTAACTGAATCGACAATCGAGTCGCTGTGCGACTCGATAATCGTTCCCTCAACTGTATTCTACAACTGCTTTATTTCTTACTTTCTATATATTGCTGTATGCTTGTTTTTTAAAATCAATCACTTCATCTCACAAACCAGTGCAAGGGTTCAACTACTCAACTTTTGCTGCACTACTCAAAGAATTCCTTTACAACTGTGACTTAGTCTCTGAAAGATCCTAAGGGCTTTTTCTCAGCCCAACATGGTATGAGAGCTGGTCAGAGACCAAACTCCCAGCAACAACACTCTATCTACAGTTAGCACATCAACGACTTCATTGATTACAAGTCATGGACAACAAGGGCAAGAAGACTTCTACGGGCTCACCCAGTGCCCAAGACACTCAACCCGACAACTATGGACTGCACACTTCAGGACTGCAAACCGAGACCGGCGCTGCTCAAGAAACAACAGGAAGGGCACCAGAAAAGGTGACCCCATCACCCTCTTCAAGCGTGGACCCGAACCTTATGGAAAGGTTCTTTAGCTTCATGTCACACTTCGACCAGCAGCAGCAGACAAGGACACCTGCGCATTCAACACAGAGAAACGGAGGAAACATGGGATTAGTGCCAATGAGTCTCGACAACTCATCGTTCGGGCGACACAATCAAGCGCCTACCTTTGCGCCTTATCACTCTTCACTGGGGACGTTCGAGTTCATGCCGCCCCGTGCCCAACCAACAGCAGCTGCATCACAACAGATACCAAACGAGATATTAAGTCTCCAGGCGCAATTTTCACATGTGATCAAACTGCAGACATCTTCAGTGTTCAATGGACACGACTTTTTTACCTGGATCTTCAAGTTCGAGCTGCTGATGGAGGCTGCGCATCTCTTGGGACACTTCAACGGGTCCTTGCTATTTCCAAGCAATGGCACTGCAAAGGAGCAGGAAATCTTCACTTATCAGTCGCTGCTGGCGTACACAGTTCTCCTGCGGAACCTGTCACCACAAGAACAACAAAGCATCAGAACGTATCGAAGCTACGGAAACTCCGCGGAGCTCGCATGGCATCACCTCAAGTGTCTCTATCAAGCAAACGACAGTGTGACACAAAGCAGACTCATGCAGCAGTTGACAACAATACAGATGAAGACCGGGGAAAAGGCGATGCAGTATATGAGTCGCTGCCAGACACTCCGCGACCGCTTGCTTCGGTGCGGAGGTACAATTACTGAAGAAAGCTTTGTGACACTTGTACTCGCTGGACTTGGACCTGAATGGAGAACCACCCACTCGCTTCTTCGCGCCCACGGACGAATTTCGGAGATGCACCTCTGCGCCGAGCTTCATGCTGAACAACAGGAGATGGACCTGTTTGAAGAAAGACAGCCAAGAAACAAACAACAATCGTTAGTCTTCTACACTCAACGAAGAAACGACAACAACTACAATCGACGTGGCAGACAAGATCAACGCGACACAAGAGGACTCACCATCGTGCCGCCGTTCTGCCACAACTGCCAAACATCCAGACACTCCAAAGTCAACTACACACGCCCTCGAGTTTATCGACCAGTAGACCCGCAAGTCGCTTCCACTCAAGAAAGCCCACCAAGGCGTTCCTCCACATCTGCACAGAACACACCAAACATCATCAATTGCATGGTACGCATCGACAACTGCGCACCCGGATCACCCCCTACTTACGCTCGAGATGAAGAAGAAGAATTGCCGCCACCATGCTCACAAGATCTTCAAGTCAACCCGACGTACGCTGCAGTCGCCAACGCCGAACCCACCGGACGAAACACCTGGTTCTTGGGCAGCTGCTGCGGCCAACATATGTGTTCTTCCGGACGCTTCGTGCAACGAGAGTGATGCCTCAACCGCGATGTCATCATCACTGTCGCCAACAACGAGAACCTGAAAGCAAACAGACAAGGAGTGGTTCAGTTGCAGTCCATGGAGACAAATGTCATCCTGCAACTCAACAAAGTTCTAATCGTCGACAACTTCGGATACAACCTGCTAAGCGTCAGCCAGTTAATGGAGAAGGGGATTCACCTGGAATGCGACTCGAACTCCAACGAGTTTCGTCTTTACCACGAGAAGGGCGGCCTCTTCATCGGTCGCGCTCTTCTGAAGTCAGGCGTCTTCGTGTTGGATTTCGTCCCCGACCGAGGTACTGCCGACAGCGATGGCATCGTATCGTTCGCCGCCTGGACGCACGCGCCAGATCTTGACCTCGACTTCACTCCAGATGGATTCTGGTACTCCAACACCATACCTGCAGCAGAGAGAACACGAGCGTTAGCAGTCATCCGACAAGAAAGACAAGTACCAACAAGCGTCCCTCCCCTGACATCACCTGCAGTAACAGCAGCAGGACCCAGCCGTGTGCCTTCACCAGCAATCCGAGGACCACCAACCGAAGCCGATCAGCTTATGCCCATCCCCAGAGAAACCTGCCGCAGTCCCGCAACAGTCGTCGCGTTCTTCTCCAACACCAGCTTGTATCAGCACTCCCTCGGCCATCGCGCTCCCGACGACATCTGGCACCAACGACTCGGACACCCTGCAAACAATACAGTACTACAAACCATCCAAGCAGAAGTATTAGAAAAGAACGCTCTCCGCACAACGAGCGGCCAGGAGCTTTGACGACCTCGCGCCCGATGCTTCACGTGTCCTGAAGCCGATCTTCCACACCAACCCTTCCAGTCGCACCACAATCCAAGCGCACCTGCATACGCACCAATGGAAAAGGTTTACAGCGACATCTTAAATATGCCACGAGACGACAGTGAAGCAGACTACAACTATGTCATCACGTTCATCGACGCAGCAACACGATACGTGTGGCACTACAACCTCAAGACACGCGATCAAGCATTCGAAGCCTTCACGACGTGTCTCCCAATCGCTGAACGCGAATCAGGCACCCAACGCAAGAGTTTCCAGTCAGACGGGGCACTGGAGTACCAGTCACAACGATTCAAAAACTACTTGGCAGGAATCAGACGTCTGGTGTCTCTGCCCTACGCTCACCAGCAGCAGGGGGTCACAGAAAGAATGAACCGGACCTTGCAGACGACGATGCGGAAGATGCTCTTGGGGATGAGGCTGCCCACCACACCTTGGCCTGACGCGATGACACATGCAGTCCATCTACACAATTTGCTGTCCTCGTCATCACTTCCCAACAACGCATCACCGCACCTGCTGTGGACAGGAAAACAGGGCAGCACAAAATTACTTCGAGTCTTCGGCTGCATGGTCCAGTACAGACCCCACACAGCACGAGCCGGACGATTCTCCCAACGAGCACGGTGGGGGCTACACCTCGGCATCGCAAAACATTTCCAAGCATGGAAACTTCTCGACATACAAGACAAAAACACCGTGGCCTCACGTGATGTGATTTTCTATGAGCGACTGACGCTGCAGCATTACCTGGACAACGTTGCCAACACAGAAGACCCCACCAACGGCTTCGAGGGCCTTTGGTCCTTCGCCGACCGTGCTGCTGAAGCTGACGCAGCAGAAGAAGCCGTACCTGAAGCCTCGAAAGCTGTCGGACCACTCCCTTACTGCTCCGTGCCCGTTCCACTTGAGGACGACAATCCTCTCGATAGTAACAACCTCGACACCTATTACCACTTCGCTGACCAGGGATACACCACACCTCAACCGGTCGACACAAATGTCTCTGAACGCATCGGACCCAATTTCTTACCTGACCTCGAAGACGGTGACGAAGCAGCTTATCCCGAGAATGATAATTCCCCCCGACACACACCAACGGGCCTGCAAATACTTGGACTATGGGTCGCCGTCCAGAGCCCGCCGCCGCCGTCGTCGCGAGAGCCAACGACCCTGTCGCAGGCTCTGGGGGGGGGAGCACAAGGCAAAATGGAAGGAAACAATGGAAAAAGAACTGAAAGCCCTGCAAGACCGAAATACGTGGAAGCTGGTACCTGCAACAAAAACCAACGGGAAGAATATACTCTCAGGGAAATGGGTGTACCGCATCAAGACCAATGCGGATGGCTCCATCGAACGCTTCAAGGCTCGCTGGGTCGTACGAGGATTCGACCAGCGATACGGAATCGATTACACGGAGACATTTGCCCTAGTCTCCCGACATACCTCCCTGCGCATTCTGCTCGCCGTCGCGGCCACAAAAAGGCTACCACTACACCAAATCGATGTTGCCAACGCCTTCCTATACGCACCTGTGGACGCCAAAATCTTCGTCAAGCAGCCCCACGGATTCATCGACGACCCCACAAAAGTATGCCACCTGGTAAAATCCCTCTACGGAATCAAACAAGCCCCACGGCTCTGGCAGCAGCACCTTCACGGCCGCCTCGTCAGGATCAGCTTCCTGCAGTTGCCGCACGACCAAGGAATGTATCGACTTCAAAAGGGGGGGGATTTTGTCCTACTCATCGTCTACGTCGACGATCTACTCTACGTCGGCTCCACTACCGATGTCGTCACCTAGGCCTAAACGTCGTCGAAAACGACTCGGCGTTCTACTTACACGCTGGGAAATACGCAGGCGTTGTCGCGAAGAAATTCAGACTAACGCCGATCGCAGTCGCGACTCCCTACCGCTACGGGAACAACAGCGATTTGTCCTACAGCGCGAGCCAACTGGCGACACACCTGAAGCAGCCGGAGCAAGAGAATCTCAAGGAGTTAAATCGGGCACAGCTCTACTTCGTCTCTACACCGACGACCGGACTTACCTACAGCAAAGTAACACCGTCGTCCGTACAACTACTCGGCTATGTCAATGCCGACCACGCGGGAGATAGGGAAAATCGACGCTCCAGAACGGGCTACGTCTACTGATTAGAACCTATCGGAACTATCTCCTGGCAATCGAGCAAGCAGGAATTAATCGTGCTATCTTCGGCTGAGGCGGAATATATCGCTCTCTGCGCTGCAACCAAAGAAGGACTCTACCTACGGGAGCTGCTCGAGGAAGCGAAAATTGCGACCATGCTCGCCTTTTCGTTACTCTGCGACAACCAATCAGCAATCAAAATCGCGAACAAAGACGGGTTCGCCAATCAAACCAAGCACATCGCCCTGCGGTAGTTCTTTGTCAAGGATGAGATTGCGAAGGGGAGACTTCAACTCAGTTACTGTCCCACGACATAAATGGCTGCAGATTACCTAACGAAGAAACAGGCGAAAGCAAAGTTCGATTACTGCATGCTACTGACCGGGCAGACAAACGTTACCGAATCCGGACACGTCAGCACTCCAGAAACGAAGGGGAGCGTTTCTGAAGTATAACACTACACTCGAGGAAAGTCGTATCGAGTACGCGAGTCAACGGAGGTTACATGAGGAGGTTGGACGAAAGAACACGAAAAGACGAAGGAACACAAAGGGTCACAACCGGAGGTTGCGATCTATCGTTGCGACTGCAAGGGTGGTAACTGAATCGACAATCAAGTCGCTGTGCGACTCGATAATCGTTCCCTCAACTGTATTCTACAACTGCTATATTTCTTACTTTCTATATATTGCTGTATGCTTGTTTCTTTTAATCAATCACTTCCTCTCACAAACTAGTGCAAGGGTTCAACTACTCAACTTCCGCTGCACTACTCAAAGAATTCCTTTACAACTGGGACTTAGTCTCTGAAAGATCCTAAGGGCTTTTTCTCAGCCCAACAAACTTGATAACAGTAAAATATCATTTCGTTGTTTTGCGACGAATCAGAATACTCCCTAGGGTTTCTAATTTTTCTCGCCTCGTCCCCAGCCTCGCTTCTCACGTTGAGGTTTCAGTCACGCCACCTCGCCACCTAGTTTCCTACCCAAGGTAAGTCGTTCTATGTGTTCCCTTATCTATTTTTAAATTTGTTTTTCCATCTCTTTTAGTAAGGGGTTTCAATCTCGCATTTGACGAGGGGAATGGCGACGGGATTGACGGGGGAATGGCAACGAGATTGACGGGCGAAAAAGCGACAATATTGACGGGGGGAATGGCGACGGAATTGACGGGGGGGATGGCGACCGGATTGACGCGGGGGATGGCGACATATTGACGGGTGGAATGGCGACGGGATTGACGGGGGAATGGCGACGGGATTGACGGGTGAATGGCGACGGGATTGGCGACGGAATTGTTGGGGGATTGGAGATGGCGGCATTCACAGCGGGGGACGACGGGATTGATGAGGGGATTGGTGGGGACTCTCTCTCGCTCTCTCAGTACCTCTTTCTCTTTGCCCCCCTAACCGTCGTAACCACTACCCCTCATTCTTCCTCTTTTTTTATCTCTCTCTCTCTCTCTCTCTCTCTCTCTCTTGCTCTTTCTCTCTCTCTCTCACTCTCTCTCTCTCTCTCACTCTCTCTCTCACTCTCCCTCTCTCTCTCTCTCTCTTCCTCTCTAGCTCTCTATATAAACCTCTCATTCTTGCTCTTTCTAGATCTCTGTTTCTCTCTCTCTCTCTCTCTCTCTCTCTCTCTCTCTCTCTCTCTCTCTCTCTCTCTCTCTCTCTCTCTCTCTCTCTCTCTTTCTCTCGATCTCTCTCTCTCTCTCTCCCCTCTCTCTCTCTCTCTCTCTCTTTCTATGTCTCTCTCTCTCTCTCTCTCTCTCTCTCTCTCTCTCTCTCGCTCTCTCTCTCTCTCTCTCTCTCTCTCTCTCTCTCTCTCTCTCTCTCCTCTCTCTCTCTCTCTCTCTCTCTCTCTCTCTCTCTCTCTCTCTCTTTCTCTCCCTTTCTCTCTCCCCCTCTCGCTCTCTCTCTCTCTCTTCTCTTCCCTCCCTCTCTCTCTCTCTCTCTCTCTCTCTCTCTCTCTCTCCTCTCTCTCTCTCTCTCTCTCTCTCTCTCTCTCTCTCTCTCTCTCTCAATCTCTCTCTCTCTCTCCAACTCTATTGCTCTTTCTCTCTATACCTCTTTTTCTACCACTTTCTTGATCCCTCTCTCTCTCTGTCTCTCTGTCTCTCTCTCTCTCTCTCTCTCTCTCTCTCTCTCTCTCTCTCTCTCCTCTCTCTCTCTTGCTCTTTCTCTCTCTCTCTCTCCTCTTTCCTCTCTCTCTCTCTCTCTTCTCTCTCTCCTTCTCTCTCTCTTCTCTTCTCTTCTTCTCTCTATTCTCTCTCTCTTCTCTCCTCCTTCTCTAGATCTCTCTTCTCTCTCTCTCTTCTCTCTCTCTCTCTCTCTCTCTCTCTCTCCTCTCTCTCCTCTCCTCTCTCTCCTCTCCTCTCTCT